CCCCAAAACCCCAAAACCCCAAAACCCCAAAACCCCTCCATAATATCCCATATTGAGTTTATTCTTCCAATTTAAGAACTTATAGATATTGTAAAACCTAAAGTGCTAAAGCCGGAATTCTAAACACTTTGAAGAAATTTGTGGTCTGGACTACTAGAAAAGCACACGAGATAGATACAGAGGAATTTCTTTTAGTATAGGATTCTTTTGGCATCAACTTTCTGATTTATTTCGGACAAAGTGCAAAACAAATTATGGTAGAATTTAGTATGTTTGGTCAAGGTGAAAGACCAGAAACTTCATGAATTACCCGATAAGTTAACTACCAATTTTTGCCCATATTAGATGTATGACAAGCTGTAAGTTATTGATATTTTTATAAAGAATATAGCTCTCTTCGGTTTGGGATATATCTTAGAGCATTCTTTAATTGTTAACAATTCTTTTAAGCTTCTCACTGAAATATTCAAGTTCAGGATCTCTTGTATTTTGCTTTATTACAATGTTTCCATATGGGGTCCTAGAGATTTTAGAGAAGATATTTCGTACGTTGTTTTATCTTGGTTTTCGAACATTTCATCTATCATCTTCTGTTTCTCTTTTAATCTCTTGACCTGCTTTTCAATCTTAAAAGCTGAATTTCTACATTCATGCTCAAGCCTCATCAGCTCCTCCTCCGCTTTAGTAATTTGCACCTGAAGTTCTTGAATTTGTTCATGTCTTTGATGGTTTAGAGTAACTTCATACTCAGTTCTTGAATTTTCGACTTCTCTTTGAAGTTTGCTAACCTTATATCTCCATTTCTTGAGTTCATCTAAGGAATTTTACAACTAAGAAGCCTACAGCCAAGCTTGTCTCCTTCTTTGACAACAGTATTGGCCTCAAGGCCTGAACTTTTCTTCATCCTAGATAAAGCTAAAGGAAAGAATTACTTGTCCAGCTCAGTTTTAACTTCTTTATTAGCTGAATGAATATAGGGTGTTTTCTTTCTCTCCTCTTCTATCTCCTGCTCTAGCTGCTTTTGTATCCTGGCTAAGGATTAAATAGGAACGTACTCTCTTCATCTAGCTCATCCAAAGCTTCAGTTAATTGATACCTTAACTAGAATGATTATCATTACAGCATACGTAAATGTTTTGTTCCTTTGCATCCTTCTTTTGCCTAACCAGAAGAGTGATGTTCTCAAATGTCTTATCAATTAAGTCTTCCCAGTTGCCTTGAGTACCCTCTTCATTCTGACTAGGAGTATAATCTTTGAGTCTTCCATTAATCCTTGTCTGAGTTCTTCTGAATGGTTCTGTTCTAGAAAAATTGTGAGATATCCTACGTTGATTCACATATCTTGCTGATCTTATCTTCTCTAAACCGACTCGCAGTTGAGTAAAACCTAGAACGGATTCAAAATATGAGATCTTACATTGATTTTGGCTCAAGAGAAGACTTATTAGTAGTAACGAAGGATGAAAAATAGTCAGTTTTTGATTTCTTGTTTCTCTTTGACGTCATCCTTACACTTTTAATAGCCTTTTTGTTCGAGTCCATTTGGTTTCTAAGGTGTTTGGTTCTAGAAAATATATTGAAAACTGCAGTGTATGAAGAACTTACCCAGATCCACCTTTATAATCCTCTAATGATTCCTCCGAAAGCTTTTTACTGCTAGTTTGTGACCAGAACCTTTGTTGTCTATTAAGAATAAGAACACTGTAGCCTACCTTCTTTTTGAATTTGTTCAGTTCTGTATTTTTTTTCTGTAGGGATTAGTATTAGAGCCGATATGAAATTATTCCATGCTTAATTTGGTTCAGTAATGCCTTACCTTCAATCACAGATAGCTCATTAACCTTCGATACTTCCATGTTTCTGAATAAATCTGCTCAATTTTTTGCAAAAATAAAGGGGTTTTGGGGTTTTGGGGTTTTGGGG